CTCTCAATATTTAGCATTGTACATAATGCAACACTTAAAGAAACTCATATAAAGCAACGCTAGAACAGGGAGGCACACATGTAACTGATGGTGTCTCCCTTTGAAGCCCCCTTTAGGTATGTTACTTCTTTCTCTCACCATACAAGCTGTGCTCCACATATCAGCTGCTGGGCCATAACCAGCTCCGATTAAAACTTCAAGGCTACGGTATTGTCTTGTTTGGATCTCTTCTGTAAAGTGATGATGCTAAAGGAGAGAGAAACCATATGTGACTGTCGGGAATTGGCTAACATTGGCCAACATTGACCAAGGCTCTCACAACTACTTGTTTTTCTTAGTTAATTTCAAACCTTTCAAAAACACCAGTACCCCCCGTGTAATTCTTCCTTTCAAAAACACCAGTACCCCCTGCATTCTTCTTTTTGGGCCACAACCAGTAAAATTCACCTCCTGTCATACCACTCATTACCAACTAAATTCAGCAGGAATTCTTGAAAATTTAAGATGTAAAAGGATTGTTTCCCTAGTTTAAGAAATTTCTTTTAACTGTCATGCTTAAAATTTGGGAGAATAATGTACCCTACTACTCCTCTGCAATGTTGGAAAAGATCCTTGATACAATAAATAAAAGCTGAAGCTGTGCTACGCCTTGCCTGGTGGAAAAGGGAAGGGAGGAGAGTTAGGTATCCTCACAAAAAGAAGATTTTTGAAATCAATAAGGCACATATTTTAATACAAGCCTTCAGATACAACATTGAAAGTGTCCTTCCTAATTTTAACCAGGGTTGTTGTAATATTAAGTACAAGTAGTGCCTATACTTACAATCCAACATGCATTCCCCAGATCAGCTATTTTTACTCTTATAGAATCTTCATCTTCTTCTGGTTCTGTGACAATTTCTTCTGGACAAATTTCACCAACACAACTCTCCTCAGGTGCAGCTGAAAAAAATACACCACAGGGAGTATGTAGTAATCTCCTATCACAAAAGCAGATTTCGTTCTTAACCATTTACACCAATATCAGTCTGCATATTCTCTATACAGTTCTCTAGGTATTTACTAAGGCACTGACAAGGAGAATTTGTTAAAGAATCAATAGCTTCTTTAGTTGGTGATAATCTCTATTCTCCTGACCTTAATGTGTAATTAAGTGGTGACGTTGCAGGGCGTGAAATTACACCTAATACAGGCGCCAACGTGACTAAATTTTTAACTTTGGTGACCAAATCCTGAAAATTGCTCGCCAAATTGGCGACTAGAATGTTTCATCTCAACCTTACCATAATATATAGTCAATTAAAAAGATTTGCAAAGATAAATCCGTGGCAAACTTCCTCGTTAACGCAGCACATGCATCTCGATCGATAACTAGACGCCATTTGGATTTGGGTGAGCTTGAACGTTGTGTATCATCCATCCTAGTGTCCACTTTGTAGCACGTTAAAAATCTTTTCCCTAACTTAATTAAGGAGGGTCTATCTAGAGCGCTGACAGCGTAAAAAAAGGTTTTGTTTGTCTTTGAAAATGGCGACCAAATTTTTTGAATTGGCTACCACTTTGAAGAATTTAGGAGCCAAGTGGCTATCAGAAAAAAAAGTTAATTTTACGCCCTGCTGTCAAAAGGAGAAATTAAAAGCTAATCACCCCCATGGTTAAAGGGTTTGAACTCAAAGCTCAGCCTCTTTAAGTTGCCATTCAACAACCAAATGATTGCCAGAAATTAAATGTAAGTCATTGAAGAATGGAAATAAACATTTTGTGTAACATCATATGAGCTGCCATGCCCTTAACCCTTTAACCACTAGGAGTGACTAACATCTACTTTCTCCTTACAAAATCAAACCCAAATCCCAGATTAAGATCATGAGAATAAAGGAAATGGTCACCAACAAGAGAAGCTGTGGATTATGAAACAAATTCTCCTCATCAGCACCTTAGGGATTATATAGAGAACAGTATAGAGAATATGCATACTGATGTTAGGGTGGAAAGGGTTGACCAAACTGCTTATGTAACCAAAAAGTGTGGCTAGCAACTATTCTTGGAAGTTCATGCAACACTCGAAGCATAATTTTTCACTGGAGAAAATGATGGAGAATTGGCGGAATTGTTCGCAAGTAAATATTTTAAACTAACAGGGTTTTTGATAGGTTTTGAAGTAGCAACAAAACCTTTGAAGTAAGCAGCTAATGGAAGTTTGATCTTCACTCTAAAGTTATGAATTTCAGAGGAAATAGGTGGCAAATTTTCCTGTTGTCAGCTGTAAGTGAAAACCTTGAATTGACCTTAAAAGTACAAACACAGATCACCATATCAGCATTTTTAACCCAAAATTTCCTTTTTTTTTTTTCATCTTGCCATCAGGACCAAAATGGTCTCAACATCCAGCCCTGTTGATGATTATATTAGAAAATAAAGTTTAACATAATGTCATCTCAAGTACCTTTCTCCTCTGGTAAAGATTCCATATCTACACTTTTGCTATCTTGTGCATCACCATTGCAAAGCAGAGCATCTACAAGCAGATAGCAAAGTTAGATTCTGACAGTTAAATTCAGCAGTTATTCCTTCTCCACACTTCTCTCTATGCATTTCCCATGGTACCAATCAAGAGCTTCTTACATTGGCAATAATTGACTTAATTTATTCTCAGGACTTTATGGTTTGATTTAGAGGTGACACAGCTGTGAGAAGAAATTGTGTACTAGTCACCCTTTATGCAGGAAGTAGGTGAGGGGGGATTGAGGAGTGGGGTTTACAGGGCCAAGTATCTCAGTGGCCCATGATTATAATTCCTTAAAGAAAATTGCTCACAGATGATCCAGATTTTGCCACACTGATATCCCTAAACAGTAAATTATTGAATATGGCTACTGCTCAGATATTTTGACAAATTCTATCTCCAAATGGATAGGAAGAGGGTAGCTTACAGGGCATGAAATTAATCTTTTTTTTCTGATAGCCACTTGGCTCCTAAATTTTTCAAAGTGGTAGCCAATTCAAAAAAAGTTGGTCACCAATTTTTTAAAACAAACAAAACCTTTTTTAACGCTGTCTGCGCACTAGATAGACCCTCCAAAATCAAGTTAGGAAAGAGATAGTTAACGTGCTACGAAAAGGACACTAAGATGGATGATATACAACGTTCAAACTCAATTAAATCCAAGATGGCGTCTAATTATCGATCAATATACATGTGCTGCGTTTTGGAAACAAACCTAACGAGGAAGTTTGCCGTAGATTTATCTTTGCAAATCTTTTTAATTCACTATATCTCTAGGTAAGGTTATGGTGAAGCATTCGAGTCGCCAATTTGCCGACTCATTTTCAGGATTTGGTCACCAAAGTGAAAAATTTAGTCGCATTAGTGCCAGTATTAGACGCAATTTCACGCCCTGGGCTTATAATTTCAGAATAGAGAATTTTCTCAAGTAGTAACTAAACATGAAATAATATAAGGTAAATCTTCATGTCCTCAATAAACCCCTTGACATAAAAAATAAAATAAATGAAAACAAACACTAATTAATTGTTGTGTACCTGGTTCATTCTGTTCCTCTGTCACTGACATATCATCATTGGTGACTATGCACTTTTGTTGAAGAGATTGGCCAGTTAGATCTTCCGAATTTTCAACCAGTTCACTATCAACAAGATTTTCTACAGTCTCTTCCTGCAACTGATTTGATTCAAGTTCATTATCATTCTGTTCACAATTTGTGGAATTTTCTGTGCAATTTTCCATGCTATTGCTACAACATTTCTCTGTCTCCTTGTCTGAAGCTTCCTCATTTTCTTCCAACATCCCTTGTTCAATTTCATCCTGCTGCTGCTGTTGCTTCTCAATCTGCTTTTTTAACTTTTTCTTCATCTTCTTTTTCTTATTCTTTGAAATCTTTGTTGAGGTGCATTGCTGCCAAATAAAGAGAACATTTGTACCATGGAGACCAAAAACATGAGGACACATGTCTCTCTTTCTTTCTCTTTGGGCACCAATTATTCTCTCACAAAGAATGGGTTTAGATCGAGAGTCATAGTAACAGGAGAATTGTATGACATAGGAGGATAGGATTATATAACCAACACACCAGCAATAACTTTGGGAACAAAATGAGTTTACTTTGGGACGACTCAAACTCCTAACTATAGAAGTCAGAAGAACTGCACAATTTATTTTAACATTGGAATAACACAGGAATAACATACTACGAAATATGCATAGCATAGGAAACAAGAGACAAACGATAAAAGGGGACATTTATTTGCTCATTTGGAAGTACAGCAAAACAGCTTAAGAACATAACATTACTCATGATCACTTGTGAACTCAAGTAAACACTTTGACCTTTTTCATAGCCAACACCAAAGTCAAACTATTTAAGGATGGACGTGGGGACTAGGCAGGAATTGGTTTACACATATATGATATATAGCTCAGGCTGTCAAAATTACACCAAAGAATTATACATAGCAACTGGAAAACAAACACCCTGCAAGATAAACATCAGGTTTCTGGTTTGAAAATCTCACACACCATGGTATAAATATCACAGAGACCTGCTCAGCTTGCTGTTAGTTTGATATGAGGTGGAAATAACTTAATTGGCATTGTTTAAAAAAACATGTTCTGCTTTAAAATTAAAAAAGTTTACTACACACCTGCATCACTGACGGAGGAGCTGTACTGACTGGAAAAGTAGAAAAGAAAAAATAGTTCATCCTGTTTAATAAATAAAGTTGCCATAACATCTGCATTAGTTCTAACATGTCAATGCCCCTTTATAACCTAACATCAGCATGTGTATTCTCCATACTTTTCTTTAACCATTTCCTACAGCTCTGACAAAGAGAATTTGGTTTTAAATCAAAAGCTTCCTTATTTGATGATCATTTTCTTTATTCTCATGACCTCAATGTTTGATTCAAGGGTGACAATGCGAGGAAAAATTGGATGCTAGTCACTCTTAGCAGTCATTGGGTCAAGAGATCAAATCTTTCTATTTCTTGTCATAAATTTCTTGTAGTATTGGTAACGAGAATTTTTGGTTAGGTCAAACAATACCATATCCCCTGGACTCTTCCTTACTCTTGTCATCTGCATGACAGTGTACAAATACTATAATGAGAAATTAAGTACACATCACTACTGAGAATAAAAAAGGTTCTAAGTTAAATTTCAATCCTAATAATGATCTGTTTGTACTTACTAAGTGCAGGAGAGTACAGCCCTGATGCTCTTGCAGCTGCAGCCTCTGCTGCCAGTTGTTGTATGTATTTCTCACTCACACACAGTAAAATATTCTCTGGTTTAATGTCCGTATGAATTATTTTACATTTTGAGTGCAGATAGTCTAGGCCTTGTAACGTCTGTAAAAAAAAGAGTTGAAAAAACAGATTGCTGTGTTATTTGAACTTTCAACATCTACACATATGCAACAGTACAAGTTTATTTGGCAGTATTTCACAATTATTCACTAAAGTGGAGGTAAATGGAGACAATGATACTAAGGTGAATAACTGTTTTTAATACCACACAATCTGGGGCATGATCTTTGGGAACAACAAACAGGAGATTTTTTTTTTTTTAAAACCCATGCTGGTGACAAAATGACAAACATCCCTCTTCACAACACAGAGATAACAAATAAACAAAAAGGTTCCATATTGCTGCACATCTGTTCAGTAATAGATCACAGATGATGCCAAATTGTGTAACTGAGAGCACAAAAGTAGCACATAAGACACAGCTGAGTATATCACTGATGTTTTAAATACTACAACATTTTTACATCATCTATGAAAGTGATACATAAATATATGTATAATGATAATCGTCCTCAGACTTCTTCCCCTGATGAAGACTCACTGTATTCAGTTGAAAACATAGCAATCCATATCCAAAAAAAAAAACAAACAAACAAACAGCAGAGTAAGACAAACAATTACACTCTAATACAATGTACTCAAGGCTAACCTGTTTTATGATGCTCTTCACTTGCACTAAAGGTATACCCTTATAGCTGGACTTGATTATTAATTTCAACAAGTTATGACCTAGCACTTCAAAGACCATACATATATCTGATGTATCTAAGTCAAAGAATGGATATGTGGAATATTGTAAAAAAAAAATCCTTATTTAATCCTTGAAACCCTTAAATCAACACACACATTCTCCATACTGTTCTCTATACATTTCCTAAGGTGCTGACAAGGAGAATTTGTTTAACAATCAAGAGATTCTTTAGTTGGTGATCACTTCCTTTAATATCATGAAAAAAATGTGTGATTTAAGATGTGGTAACGCAAGGAGAAATTAGATGCCAAGGAGTTTTTAGGGGTTAAAACTTTAACTCCCCGATCAGATTTGTTATTCTCCTTACTGTCAACCATACAATTCTTATAATTTTAGTTCAGAGAATTTAGAATTAGATCAACTTAGTCCCCAAATTGATATTTTTCTTTATTCTCATCACTTATCTGGTTGATTTTGTATTGATATTGTGAGGAGAAATTCTGTCTGATTGGATCACTTTTAAAGGTTGCAAAAAAAAAAAAGAAATTTGCTCACTCAACATCTGATTGTTTATTCTTCCCTTCCTCTACTTGTTACATATTTCCATGCACACTGGTTGTAAGAATTTGGTGTTAGATCAAGTTTTGCAATTGCTACCTGATAAGTTTGAGTATTCTCATTTCCTGTTTGCTGGATATCGTATGGATATTATAGGAAAAGTTACAAGATCACTTCTGGGAACTAATTGAATTAGCACATGTCAATGACGATGGCCACATTGGCAACTTTCAAAGAAAATCCAGTCGCCAATTTTTTTTTTTTCCTGCTTGCCATGGTTGCCTGAAGGGATAAAAAAAATTTGCATTTTCTAATAATCATAGTCCCCACATTGAAGGTACACGAAACAGAAAACAGGTTTCTTTGGACAGAGTTCTGTCATAAAGGATACGTGAGCCATTTATTCCTACAATTTTGAAATCATCTGTTAGTTGGACGACATGTTTATATCCAGTGTGAGTCAAATCAGCTGTGTGGACCTAACAAAAAACGAAGAAAGCAAATTAACTGACAGATCTTCTTAAAGCACTCTGGTAAGGAAGCAAATAAAGTCCACAATGATATGTACAAGATGGTTGTACTATTTCCAATATTCAATTCAAAATTCTACATTGCGATGAAGGTACTTAAAAGATGTGGTAGCTTTCCAGACTGTTCTCTGCAGGATACCAAGCTGTCTTCAACCCTAAATCCATACTCCACTCTAGACTGCTTTTTTAATGTTCCTAATTGGCAACCTGGCTCATGATTATAGCGCTCATCTTTGATCGAAGCAGTATAGCTGGGAAATGTCTTCAGCAGTTCACTTAACAACTTAAGTCTTAGGAGTTGGAAAACCATGGCTTCACACCACCATTAAACTTTGGTCAACAAGTACTGTCTACAGTGAGGCTATTTTTCTCTCTTGCACTATAGGAATCCGACAAAAATGTTGTGTTCCGATCTTTCTTAAGCCTTTTATTTTTATCAAGTTTTATCACACTTTAAGTGGTGATGTTCAAAAGCATAATCCTAAATTTTTTTAGCATCATTACTCTGACCCTACTGATGACAGATGATAAACATTGACAAAACAAAGGAGTTCAAGTTGCTTATACCAATAACCACAAAAGGGGGAATTTGATTTTCCACCAACAAGAAGAATCAGACCTTGCACATAAGACCCGGCACAAAAACAAGAAGAGTCAGTACTAAAGGCATAATCCTGGACTTTTTTAGTATAATTACTTAGAACCTACTGATGACAGATGGTGAACATTGACAAAACATGGGAGAGTTCAAGTTGCATATATACCAATAATCACAAGAGGGGGAATTTGATTTCCACTAACAAGAAGAATCAGTTCTCATTATACTTATTCAGCCAGACCATGCACATGAGACCTAGCACAAAAAACAAGTTCCTTACTGTTCTTAAAAGTTTCATTTCATCAATGGCTGTCTCTGTGTAATGCGACGCACTTTTTACAATCTTCAGCGCCACAAACCGCCGGTCTCTGGGAAATAGAAAAACATGATGAAACATGAATAAACAGCATACAATAAACATTAGCAAAGAAAACTATCAATTGAAGGGGTAAGGTATAGGTTAAGTCTGTATTTGAGCAAAATGACCCATTCAGCTAGAGCTGAGTGGGTCACTTGGGTAAATTTTACCCCTAGTATTTCATCAAGCTTCCCTGACAATTTGCAGTAGTTTCAATGAAAGCTGGTTAGGGGCAGCCTACTGCTGCCTAGAAGACTTCTTATCCCCATCTCTTTAGCTCTCATGTTTGGTTTTTGTGTTACACCTTTCAGTTTTTCCAAGCACAACCCCCCTTGTGCTCTATTGGCAGCTGCTTGTGAGAGAAGTAAGTAAAACCCCTGAATTTACACATTCCCATTTGTACTTCTGCCTGGAGGGAGGCAGTGGGAGAGTCAGGTGTTTCTCATCACAATCGGCAGTACTGTCACAATCTGATTAGCCAATTTGCTATTGTCCAGACAACATTGCTTGCGTCAAGGTGTCATGATCTTAGTCACACACCCAAGAATGGTTTTATTTGACCTCAATATTGCCCTAAAAAAACAAATGGACAGTGGTTTAGCATGGTCTGTACTCTTATAGACAACAATATTCATCACCACAATGGTCAAAATTTGTTGCCTTGCAAGCCCATAAAATTACAACCACGGTGATGACAAATATCATTGTTCACTAGATACAGACCATGCTAAACCACTGTTAATATCTTAATTGCCAAGAACACAATCTTGATTCAAGGAGAGCATGGAAAAAAACTTGAAGCATTTTTGAACAGATTGCTAATATTATATTCTCTAATAAACACACTGATAATCACTAACAGCTTTCGTCTATGCACCACTTAAATTTATTTTTTGTTTTTTGAAAACTCACTTGAGATCCCATGCTAGCCAGAGAGTTGAAAAGTGACCCCAGCCCTGAACAGATTGCTAATTTCTCCATTAAAATAATATTGTATTCTCTAACAACCACACTGATAATCACTAACAGGTTTAGTCTGTGTACCACTTAAATTTATTTTTTGTTTTTTAAAAACTCACTTGAGATCCCACGCTAGCCAGACAGTTGAAAAGTGGCCCCAGCCAAGCTTTCTGATAATACTATAGCGGTTGTTGAACAGGTCACCCAAGCGCACAGGATGGTAACCTCCTATAAGGTAACGATGCAATAGAAGAGTACAAATTATAATACACACAGCAAGCTGGTTTACACTTGGTTTTGTTTTGCTTCTTTGTTTTTATGATTATTATTACTATTAATTGGATATCATGAATTTATTAACAGACATACATAAAATTACAATATTACATTGCATTATAATGATAGATTGCATACAGTAGTATATTATATTACACTGTTGCTTTACTGACATAATACCATTACTGTGTAACAATACCACATTCTTGACAGACAAATGCCATTTACTTTAAATATAAAACAGCACTGTTCATTAAATTTCTCACACAAATTTTCTTACGAGCCACTTTGGCCAGACTTTCTTGAAACATAAAAAGAGCCAAAAATTAAAAATTGACTGAAGTAATATTATTTCCATTCCAGTCGAACTTCATTGTTTTGTTGAAGTTATTTTTCTTTTAGCTTCAAGCTGATGAAAGTATCATTCTCTTGTGGCAGAAGACAAAAGCTGTTTCATTTGCGAGTAAACTCAATCTGAACAAGCTTCAATGCTAATTGTCACTTTAAGGACTTTAGTATAAGTTCAGTAATAACCATTAGTATATACCACACAGATAAATAGTGCTTTTTGCACACCCTGATGGACTAGTTTGGTGGTGATTAGAAAGTACTATTCACATCCTCACAGCTGAGGAAACAAAATCGCACATCAGCAATTTAATTTTTGTCCATTTTTTTGATATATTGACAAAAATACATTAATTTTTTTGGTTTTGTGTGGTGTGTACACTTCCATTTTATTGAATTGTTAATTATTCTTGTGCTGCTTTCTAAAGAAAAAAAATTCTTAAACATTGATCCTCGCTGCCTTAAAGATGTGTTTTCAGCAACAGCAGATATAATTTTATCACACACAAAAGCGACTTTAAATGTTATGCACAAAAAAAAAACTGAATAACAGAATATTTGAAAAATGACAAAAGACAAATCATCTGGTGAACTTGAGATATTCAGAGCACTCTACTTTTTTTTTCTTTTTTATATCACAATATGTCTAGCAGTTGACAGTGTACCAAAATGCTACATAACTGAAGGAAATTTCAAAGAGTAACTGGCTTTCAAAATACGTTTTCAAAACAAAAACAAGAACTAAAAGCATATATTTTTATTTTAAGACAGTAATCAAAAATATATCCCGAGAAAAAGGATACAGATGAAAATCATCTATTGTGTTTAAAGAATATTTTGTAAGCTTGATGCATACACAATTCTAATTGCCACCTTTTAACCTCAAACAAAGCCATTCTGAAACCTCTGTTGCCGCAGAAACAAAATCCATGAAAATATTTTGGTTTACAGAGCAAGATATACTTCCTTTGAGATTAAATACTCCAACTTGCCTTGAAAATGTATTCTAAAAGTCGATCTTTCGTACACCTGTTAACTATGTTGACGATCGATTCAAAAAGCGCAGTTAATTTTGGTACATGTCGATGTACACTTTCTCAAAGCCAAAACAAATTCCTTTATTGCTACATTTCGTAAGCAGTTAAATAACTTCTGTGTTGGCTAAAATTGCTAATCAGCTGAACTGCCCTAAGACGATTACTGGCAAACCTTTTAAGAACGAGTCAAGCTGGAAGCAACTTAATGTTCTAGTTTTCAACACATCATAACATTAATTTACCATTTGACTTGTCATTTGCGAAGTGCTGATAGATTCGTACTCAACATCGATCGCGGCACAAAATAAATTCCCGGCAACGGAAAAATGAATCCTTTTTTCAGCTCACAGTGTAATATTTCAACAAGATGAAGATCCTTAGAATTGAGTAAATCAAGCGCTAACTTATGCAAAACCCTTTCCAATGTGCAATTTGTTACTCGCTCAAGAAGGCAAGCTTACCTTTGCAATAGTCACCAGAATCTTCTTGCTCCTCATCGTCGGAATTCTCGTCTACCTCATAATCGTCGTCGTTAAAACTAGACACACTCCCGCTAGACATAACAGAAAACAAGAATCCTTTAAACTTTGGCCTTTGTAAAAGCAATGAGGCGACACCGCCTTGTATATAGTACAAATTCGCCCACCTTTTCGGCTTGGATTTCGTATCTTCAGGCCTCATGCGTGCTTTCGGCGCCTTGTAACGCTTTTTCTTCGCTTGTATTGCAAGAACTGAAAGATAATAAGGCGAAAAGGGAGGTTTAAAATCTACTCCTGCTCCGTCCTGAAAGGTATATCAGTCACTTATACCTTTCCGCTGCATTTTTGAATTCATTTCGCCGTTTTTACGATGCCACTGAAAAGTTTGCTTGAAAACTACGGTTTTTTTTAGGCGCGCATGTCAGCGCACAAAAAACGCGGGCTCGCATAAAAATTTCCTATCACAAAATATTCCCACGAGCGCTCCAAAGATATCATTTTAATTTAACATAAGAGCCTTGGAAAGATATTGTTTTCAGAGGCTAAGAGTGCAATTGGTTCGTTAAGAAACTAAGCCAGAGAAATATCGATGCGGATAAACTTTCAAAACGCACAGTCCAGCGGTTCTATATTTCTTGCCACAACGCGAAATATGTACTGCAACTCATGAACATTGAAAAAAAACAAACGAAAAGTTATGTGTTTCTTTTCAATTCTTCGACAGGAAAAGAGTTCATATCAAAATTGAGAGCCTTTTAAGTTTAACATTTTATATTCTTTGCATGATTGCATCATAAACTCTAATTCCTGAGAAAAAATGCTGAAAATATACTGTTAGTATTTTTGTGACACGCCATGCTGTGAACAACTGGAGCGGTAAATTAATTTCGACTTTGTCTCAGATTGAAAAGCAAACCTCAGGAAATGAAGTTAAGTAAATTTGCACCTCTTCTGAGATGGAGATGCGGGGATCCCTTGTTAAATTTACAACAACATAAGATTCCTCTAAAGAAAGCTAAGTCGCAAACAGAGAATATCGTGACTACTTGGACGAAAAATATCAGCTCGCAATCTGCATCAATTATATGTGTTATACAGAAACTAAACATGTAAAATGCCTCGGGGTAAATGTATATTTGGAAAAGGAATAAAAGAATCGTGGTAACGTTGCAATAACGGTTTGATCGCATGTAGTGACATCCAATTCAGTTGGACAATATTCTTTTCTTTTCGAAATTTTCAAACCCTTAATAAAGATGTACGAACTCAGACTTATATTAATTTGCATGAGACCGCATAAGGAAGGATGCAAACGATATTTAATTCATCAGTATTATTTATTAGACAATTAACGAGTTCGATGTAAGCCTTAGTATTACCAATATCGTTTATTGTCTCTTTTTCATGATCAAAGAGTCTTCAAAACCATGGTTGTCGGTTTCAGTCGATAATTAGATTTAACTCGCTACGTGAATCACGCGATCGAACTGGAATGTTTACAACCGATATAAAAGAAGTGTTTGGGTATCAATGAGCGAAATGCATCATGTTTTGGATTCGAGAATCTACTGAATCCAGTATTAAATGAATGTGATTAATTGTCCGTGTTCAATTGGCAAGTTTTGAAATAATTAATTGTGACCTCTTCGGCCTGTTGCAAAATGTAAAACCCATTCGACATAAATTGGCTTAAGTTACAGAAATTGCAAAGTTCGCACCTTTGTGCGTTTTGTTGATAATTGGCACAATCAAGAGATAACACTGCATGAATTCCCGAGATTGAAAATATCAGTGCAAGATCTAAACTCCGGGTAAAGAAATTAGCGCCGAGTTGCCGCAAGTAAGATTTTGAAGATTTCAGAGCTCGTTCAAACATCTGTGCTTTGACGATAGCGAAGAAGTGATTCCAAAAATTGTTTCTCCGCTACCACTGTTTCCAATAAATGTTTTGAAAAGAAGTATCTATTTTTACTCACTGATTGGAAGAGGACTTAAAGGCTGCAAAATTCAGATTCCTTAACACTAAGAGGGAAGCATTTTAGTTGAAAGCCTTTCGTTATCGTTGGACTATTTGACAAACTTTCTTGAATTAACAATTTATAGAGATCAGCTGGAATTCTGCATTGGCATCAACAGAAGAGAAGATTCTGAAATATCTAAAATTCCCTTTATCTTAAATCAGAATGATTATTTGCCGTTTGGTTCGATCAAGTTGTTTTCGCTCTCGAGCTTCACCGAGTTGCTCGGTAACCAGACAAAATATCTGAAGACATATTGTTGCGATTTGCTCACCTTCCCTTATGGAGGACTCTGCTGCACAATGACACCAGTAACAGTCAAATCGCCCACAAAATAACCTTGTGGGTTCTGTATCTGTCAAGTCTGTTCTTGAAAAGATCAAATTCTCCGAATACCAGATGAATGGATTTCAATTATAAGGCTCCAGTGGTTAAAGCAGGGTGAGTGGCGCACCGCTTCGGATTAAAACGTTATTGAGTTTGTTTTTGTTTGAAAAGCGCTCCGATTGATAACTCAAACAAAGATACTGCCGTGACCCTTCATCGCTCAAATGACGTTGCGACATGCTGATAAAGATTTGACAGCTCAAGTGTATTCAAAATTGCCAATGAATGAAACGCTCTTGAGGTTGCCCTGTAAGCGCTCGGTTAGAACAAATTAGAAGAAAAAAACGTTGACAAAAGGACTTTTCACCGCTTTTTCGTTAGATTCTCGATAGAGCTATCCAACAATTTGGCAAATTTCTATTTCAAAATAATCGAACATGATAGACTATCAAATCTAACTGCTTTGCACCGATACATTTTACCATTTAGGCAAAGGAAAAGAAGGTAAAAGTATTTACATGTAATATGCCCAGTTCCTGAACTTTCGAAAGCATTTCTGTGGTTTCATTTGTGACGTTACTGGTGTTATTTCTGTCAAAAAGCGGAAATAGGTAACATTAGCCAAATCAGAGGTTTCCTTCTAAATCTAACCAAGAAAAATCACATCAACAGTGCATCTTGTATTTCCGATGAAAAAAAACAAACAAACAAGCAAAGTAAGAGGCAAAAGGAATAATTAAGGGAGTTACGAAAGATTCAACGCAAAATATTTTTCCTCTATTGAAACAACCTCCTTCCGTGAGTTCGCAGTGCACGCTGGAGGCGAGAGTGCATGTAAATAACTCAAAAAGCACGGTGGAGGGGGGTGGGAAGGAGTCGGAAGATTTTGGTAGTGTCACAATAAAATTTACCTGAACCCCCTATAATGCTCAGCATGATCTAGTACCCAGATCCTACCGTGTTACTGACTGAAATGTGATCTTGCCCCTGAAGGGTCTGGTTACGAGACTAGGCACTGCAGTATTCTGATGATCCCGCCCCTCCACCTTCATTGATTTTTTATGGTTTCCCGTCTATAGTAATTATATGCAATTATCAATATTGAAAATATATGAAGTAATTCGCTCAATACACGCAACAGCGAAATTTGAAAGAAGCAGAACAGAAAGTTTTTTTTTATTACTGAACGACCACTGGCCTTTTTAAGTGAAATTTTAGCTTTGAATACATGTTTTTGATACTCTACTAATGTGATATGAATAACTAACCAGTCGAAAAAAACCGTACGGAGGGAAGAGGGGAGGGGAGAGGGCAGAGAGGGGGTGAACGGGATAATTTCCATAATTCAACCTTCAGACTCTGTTAGCAACAACTGATCCCTCATCTGTCCCCCAAGGAAAACGTGTAATTCTCTGGCCCCTCAAAAAAAAAAGTCCCCAGACGCCATCCCTCGGTCGATAAATATAAATAATGACTGTTCCCTTAGTTTTTAAATTTCTTCAAACGTAAAACTAGCCAGAACTAAGGAGATGTATTCTCCACCCAAACAGGAGAAACTATTAGGACATAATTTCCTCTTCGGTTGTGTTTTTCCTGTACGCTGTCACCCGAGGTGCGGAATTGTATAAATTACCAAAGTTTGAATTTTTCATCAAAAACCCGGAAATTGAAGAAATCTATTATTTGTGAATTTTTTTTAAATAACTTTCTGTTGACTTGACTAAAATGCGTTACGAAAGCGGCAACACGGGCGGCTTTAGTTCGACGTTTTAGTAATTATGCAAGATCGATATCGCTAAAGATGGTTCAGGCCTGTGCCTAGACGCTAGAAAAATTTCAGAACTCTGATCGATCCAAATGACGAGTTTTTTCGTAATTGCCTCCTTTCGCTTAGAAAAGATTAACTTTCAGGTTTTTGTGTTGAACAGTTCTTCTCAATTTCATGGAATTAAGAAAAAAGCTTAAGTTAACATGTTTAACATACACTTAAAAAACAAGCCTAGGGAGAAAATTGTCGATTTTAAAATACAATTGAACATCTTGACTGCTGACATATCTGTTGATTTGTCTGACGTAAGTTCTTCCTTTGTTATTGGTTTACATCCCAAAAATCCATACCACTAGGAGAAGATTCCTTTTATTGAAGTTCACCACTTTTGGGAGGAAAGGTAGCGTTTTAAGCTGAAAGTGAAATCAGCTGAAAATTACTGCCCGAAATAAGGAGAAAACTGTCCTGCTAAAGAATCGCAACACGTTCTGTTTGTCTGGAATAGTGGTTCCTATATTTTATGAGTGAGTTGATATCATGAACGACGTTACTTGCAACGATTCTGCAAAGTTTTACCTCATATCCACCGATCTCAAAGATCTTCGTTCGACTTTTATCGCCAACTGTATCTTCAACAATTTTCTTACGCACACCTCCATCATGTTGAATATTGTGACAATCTACGCTATCCACAAAACCTCGGCGATCGCAAAAACTTTGAAAACTCTGCTACTGAGTCTTGCCTGCTCTGATGTTGCTGTTGGTTTGTTTAGTCAACCATTATACACTTTTTTTCTGGTCAAGTGGTTACAACTGGACAATCTTAACTGTAATATTTACCAAGCGCTGAATATTTCAGGTTATTTATTCTCAGCTGTTTCGTTTCTTGGTGTTGTGGCTTTAAGTGTGGACAGGTTCTTAGCTGTTCATCTTCATCTCAGATATCAAGAGCTTGTGACTCAAAAGCGTGTTGTTGTTGTGGTGATCAGCAAATGGTTGTGCAGTGCATTTGTTTCTTCGATAGCATTATGGGGGTTGCCTGGTGCTCGGAGTATTACAAAGTCAGTCGTTGCAGTTTTCGGTTTCATTGTCACGTTTGTGGTGTACACCAGGATATATTTAACTGTCCGACGGCACAAAAATCAGATTCATTCTATGCAAGTACAAGAAGTAGCTCATTCTGATGAAATAAAACACTTCATTGTTCTCATTAAATCCACAGTTAGCATATTTTACGTATATCTCTTGTTGTTGATTTGTTATTTGCCTTTTTTGATTTGCACGGCTGTTATTCGAATCTATGGCTCGAGTATCGCTTTAAAACAATTTTTACTTTACTCATCGACTCTCATATTTCTTAATTCATCTTTGAATCCTGTCATTTACTGCTGGAAGATGAGACACGTTCGACA